GTAGGCCCCTGTCAGAGGGGCCTCTCCAGCTTTTTCGGGTCTGTGGGGTTCCCTCAGGGCTGGAGCTCTGCCGGGGGGTGATTGTTTTTACCACGATTCCTGAAGGAAACGGAGCCTGTCAGTGCACTGAGGGTGGCTTCTGCCACAGCTGCCACGGGGCACACTTGCAGAGTTCCATCAGAAAGGGGTCTGAGGGCTCAAAGATGCTGCGATACTGCAGGTTACATGAACATGGAAGTGGGTAGGGGAGAGGATCCCATTAATGCCTTCGGAAAGGAAATATTCTTGACCCTTGCTGGGCACCACAGAATCCTTTCCAATCTAACCCATTCTGGGATTCTAGGGCTGCTCCAGGGCAGAGCATGACATGGCCCCTGTGGCGTAACCAAGGTGGAAACATTCCCATTTGCCCCCCTCTCTTCATGTTTTTGGTACTGTTCAACCTCAGCGAGGGCAGAGGGCTCCAGGGCAGCTCAGTGCTGCTGGGAGAGAGGTAAATTTGGGGTTACAACAGCAGGACAACCAGGGCAGGGGAATCTTAAACCTGAAGTTGTTCCTCTGCAGGAGTGTTGTTAAAGGAGCATCTGCACCAGGCTTCAGAACAGATCCTCAGGACGCTTGCTCTGTCGTTTCAGTCCTCGTGGCTGCTCAGAAGGAGCTCCTGGTCTGGCTGTGCACTCATTTCTAACGTTTGGCTCCCTGCATGCAGCTCCTGTGGGGATCTGGGGGGCATCTGCAGTAGGGTAGAGCCTCCGCTTGTGCTGGAAGCCTGGAAGGTGCCCAACATGTTCCTGTGCCCTGTGTCTGGTGCTCTCCCCCTTTGGAAAGCTCAGTTATTATCAAGCTCCGTGTTTACCCCAGGTGTCACAGAGATGAGGGTCTGTCCCTCTGTCACTGGGAAGGTGCTGGCAGGCTCTGTGTTCCCAGAGACAGGAGCACATTTAAATGGGCAGCCACGTGTCATAAGCTCGACTCTTGGATTTAATTAACTTCACATCTGCCTGGGTATCCAGAGTGGCTCAAACAGCCCCGAGCCTGGGCTACAAGGCAGCAGGAAATTGAGGTGAGGGCCCAGCAGCAGTCCTCAGGGCTCAGCGAGGAGAAAAGCCATTGCAGCAGGCAGAGCATGTGCCCGCTGCGGGGTCACCTTCCTCCCTCTGACCACATCTTGGGAAATCAGTGAAAGAGCCCCCCAGCGAGCCCTAAACACGGTCTGCAGCTAATGAGAAGAGTTTGGCAGCAGCTGGAGAAGGGGAAGTGCAGGATGGTGCATGAGGTCTTGCCTGGAGTCCTACCAAGCACCTTGGCCAGATGGGTGAACCACCTACCACACCTCAGAACGTGGCTGCAGGAGGCCTGCAGGAGCGAGGGTTGTGGTTAATGCTTTTAAGCATCATGATGCAAAGCAAAGCCCTGATTTTTGGTGTGTTTGGACATACGCAGAAAGACTTCCAAGCTGTCTGAAGCTGCCTGTGTGTCCAGGGATCTGTCTGCCTGAATTCAGTTGCAAATGAGGGGCTAACAGTGCTCAGCTACAGCCACGCTGAAGCAGCTTGTTCTAAAGCAGCTCCATTGACTTGATTTCTAATGTCTAACATGATTTAATTAGCAGACTTCTCTGTTTGCAGCTGAATAATGCTCTTTGTTTACTGCTGGAGTCATGTGGGAGCTGGAAGTAGGTTACAGACTTGTGCAGGAGCTGCTTTTGTTCCTCCCTACGAGTTCGGTGCAGGGTGCTGTGGATTGTGGATTGCTGCTACTGCAGAGGCTTGTCAGAATCCAGCCAGGACAATCCAGCATCTGAATCCTTAACAAGATGGAAATAAGTGTTCTTTGGAGGGGGTGATCTCTGGGAGAATGTGATGCTCCTCTAATTGCTTTATTTTTATTCCATTCATCCCCTGCAATGGGAATTGCTGGGAGGATTTGGGAGCCGGCACCTCTGGGGTGCGGGATCTGGCTGCCTGGAATCTGTAGGAGCTTTCGTTGGGGAAGGAGGGGAAAGGAGCTCCTGCAATTATTGCTGGTGGGGTGATGAAAGGAAAAGTTGGGAACAGGATTTCGAGGGCTTCTGGGCTTCTGCAGGCAGAATTCCCAGTGAGAGCTCTGGAAACTTGTGTGGGATCACTGCAGAATCTCATTTGTTTTCCTTGTTCAGAGCAGCTGCTTCTGCAGAGATGGAGTGCAGGAGCCAGCAGCTGAAGCAGGAAGCTTTTCTGTTCCCAGGAACTTTGGGACACTGTGAAATAAGACACAGAAGGAGGTTTTCAGTAAGCCTGCCACTGAGGGCAAGAGCATTCCCTCTGGAGTCCTGCAGGAGCCAGGTCTGACTGTCTGCAGGTGAAGCAGTCTGCAGACACACCAGGGAGAGGTAACTGACTGACCCCCTCCTGGTGGGATATTTCACCTGGAGACCAAGGAAAGGACCTTAAAGCAAAGAGATTTTGAGCTCAGCTGCAGTCTCTGCACATTTGCCCTTCAGTATGAAGGTTTGCAGGCTGGTTCAGAATAATCAGATCTTTCCATCAAATGCACATGGAAGAGACTCTGTTTTAAATTGTGGGGTGAAGCTCGAGAGTTTTCCAGGGGCTTGACCGTGAAGCAGGGTCTCGGGAGCAGGGGAAGGCAGGGGCTTGGTGCTGCTGCTCATGCGATGCCAGGATGGGTGCGTGGGTGCTGGAAGGGGGCTTGGCAGAGCTGCCTTAGCTCAGCACATGCTGCTTGGGGGGTTGCCTGTGCCTATGGCTCTGCATAAAGTCATAGCCTGGTTTGGAAGGACCTTAAAGCTCCTCCAGGTCCACCCCCTGCCTCAGGCAGGGACACCTTCCACTAGAGCAGGTTGCTCCAAGCCCCTGTGTCCAACCTGATACATCCCACC